AGATACTTCTTGGTTTATTTTGTTTTTTCTGTGTGTTTTTTTCTTGCGGAGGGATGTTTTGTTGTTGTTTTTATCCTCGGCTCTCTGTCTCAGCTGTGGTGGGGGCTTTTTTTTTGTTTTTTCGTCTCTCTTGCTGAATTCTGGGTGATGAAGCAGCAGGCCAAGCTTCCACATGAAAAAAGAAAAAAACAGCCAGAGGTGACATTTACACTCGTCCTGATCGTCAAATGAACGGGATGTAAGTGAATGCAACACCTCCCAGCAGCCTGAGACCGGTCACCAACATGATCCAGATTAATCCCTGAAAACGTTCAGGTCTGCACTCTTTCTGATACACACCTGACTTTCAGTCAGAACTGGTTTAAACTGGTTTCACTGGGCTTCATCAGTCTGTTTCAACTTCAACAGGCAAAGACCCACAACGTTTTCTCTGCTTTTTCTTCTTCTCAGCTTTCATTTTACTCAGAATATTCTTCAATTCATCTTTATTAATCATCTGTAAAATGATCTCTTACTGATTTGATAGATATGCCGACTCTTCCAGACAGTATACGTCCATCAGTGTGACGATGACTTAGACGTAATTCACTAATTTGTTTAGAAATCTGCACCACTGAAGCAGAGGAAAGACTGCAACAGTAACGCCTCTGATAGCGTCCTGTGGGTTGTCCCAATACCAGAATTTAAAACTGGGATTTTTGATTGTATTAAAAAACAAATATCTGCATCATCTGTTTGGATACCACGGCAACAAAAACACAAGTCCCAGCGAGAAAAACATTGACAAGTCGCTCAATTGTGATATAGTTATATACGTGAAATTAGTCGCACTGGTGTGTAGAATGTTGTCACCTTTTTTAGATGGAAAAAAAAATATTAAAAATGCGTCCTATACACTTGATTTGTCGGTACATGTTAGTTCAAATTGATTCATAGTAGATGTGACCTCTGAGGTAACCCTTCAGCGTTGGTTTTTCTGGGACTTTTGAGGGTTTTTAAGGGGTCCACTTCTCATCTCCCCCTGTGTTTGGTCCCTGTGACCCTGTTGACCTTAAACTAGGCGCGATAGGAACGTTATAAGACTCTTTACACTTTTTCTTGGTTTGCCGGTGAAACAAAGTCTAATCCACATTGAAACATGAACTCTTCATGATGCCGCCTTCACAGTCGATGTAAATCTGGACTGTTTGAGCACTTATGAAGCACAATCTGTGCCTCCGATGATCTGGATCAGTGTTCTTTTTAAATCCGGACCCGGGTCTTGTTGGGAGGTGTTCACACTGAGGCGGGTTTTCAGGAAGTCCTGCTCTGTTCTGTTCTGGTTTAAGTCGACCATGTTGAAGGTCTGACATGGCGTTTTCTCTGTTACCTTGTTTTTGTTTTTCAGGGGAGATTTTGAAGGTCGGGGTTGAAACTTGAAGCCAAATTATTAAAATAATTAAAATTTATTTTATTTTCTGTTAATTTTTTTTTTTTTTGTAAATTTTGGGGCACAGAAAAAAAGGGGGTCAAAGTGCCTCTGATGTAACTAACACCACAGTTTGTGTACATGTGTGGGCAGACACGCACAACCGCACACACTTTCTCTGTTAAACACACACACACACTGTTAGAGGCCTGCAAGTGTCTAGAGTTTGAGAGAACAACACCTGGACACCTGGAGCTTTTTAGAGCTATTTAAGAGCTAAGCTAATGATACCTGCTAACAAGGCCTAAGAGACCGAGGTAAAAAGCTCAGAAAATATCGAGCAAGTGGACCTAGAGTTGAGTTATATTGTATGATTCTTAAATGTAAAGTTTGACCCTACAGTTTTTCTTGTTTTGTAGCAGGCAAGTCTGTTAATTGTTGTTTAGAGTCGGACCAAAATATCTCAAGAACTTCTGGCTATAAACAAGGGACGCAATCATAGCGCACAAATCAATACAAATGCAAACATGTCAAATCGATGGGACAAAAAAATATGGTGCAATACTCTCATTTAACCACCAGAGGGAGCTATCTGCTTTTCAAAAATAAGAAGAAATTAAATTTAGTGACTGAGAATTGACGTAAAAAGAATCACATTTATTCACAAATTGAATTCAAACTCTTAAGTAAATTAAAAAGTAATTGAATAAATCAGGAGTTGAGTGTACAGTTACATCTGCGCTAGAAATATCTGAAGGGCCTCATGTCTGAGAGGCTATGCTAACATTAGCATTGCTCAGGCCGTACGAGGAGGTCAATGTTAGCAAGCATGCTAAATCTCATGACGAAAAAGTTCCGATTTAATAAAAAATTTAAATCCTTCATTTTTAACCTCGATTTCGGCTTGTTTGCAGATTTCTTCTCGCCGTACGTTTAGGGTGAAGGCGCTTAGAAAACCAGGACAGAATCTCAGGAAGATGTAAGAAGTCAGACTTTTGACATCCAGCTGATAAAAGGCATCCATTTTTTCTCTAATGGAGTGACCTCTGGGGCCCTCATCAGATCAAACTCCGATCACTTCAGGCCTCTGCAGAAGTGTTTATACATCATGTAAAGGTTCCTGTGTGTGTGTGAGCGGGGGAAGTATGTGTCGGCTCACACTCTGGACTCTCGAGCAGCAGTGTTTGTCATCGTTTGTGTACTCTGTCTTGTCTCCGTGTGTTTAAAAAAAACAAAAAACATTAAAATAAATACGAACAAATATTCCTGATGTTTAAAGAGAAATAAACACTACAGTACAGAGAGAGAATTGTAAAATAAAATGTTATCGAATGACGTGCTACTAGACTTATTTTGTTAAAATTGTTTAGAGATATGAGAGTGAGCTACGTAGAGGATGACGATGATGATGTATTGAATATGCAGAGAAATGTTTGGATTAAAGTTGTAGCAAGCTGACCCACCAGACCCGCCTCCTGCTCCTTCATTCATGTGTTCATTAACCCTTTAACTCATACTGGGCACTGCAGTGGACATCCATTCAAAAGCTGTTTTCTACTAAATGCAACTGGTTTTAAGATTTATCTTTTGGGGGGGCGTTTTGGGAGTGGAGAATGATATGTGGGAAAGGAGAAACCGCTTGAAGGACTACACAGCCTCCATACATGGGGCGCCCGCACTGCGCCACCACCGGCCCTAAATGCACTGGTTTTTAATCGGATTGTTTCACATCAGACACTCCTGTGGAAGTCAGCTCATCCACTGTCATCCACTGGTCAGCAGCTGTAAGTTCAAGATGGCTGATGTAACTCACAAATGTTATTGTAAGAACTTCCAAATATTGACTTAAGTTATGGAGAAAATCATAATTGATCAGCTGTCCACTTAGCTGGACTTCATTCTTTGCCAGCTATGCTGATCATGAAAATTAAACGTTACTCCGCCTCAGGTATTTTTCTCCCATTAAAGCAGACATATTATTAAAATCCACTTCTACAGTGTTTTTGAACATATTTGGTAACCTGAGTGTCTACTGACCCACAAAATGTGAAATAAATCCATCCAGTCCTTTGTTTGTGGTCTGCATAAGTCTTACAACACAGAGAAAAATGCTCCGTTTCAAATGTGCCCTCCTTGTGATGTCACAGTGGGATTCTGGTAAAAAAAAAAAAAAATCCCCTCCCCTGATATCTCCACCCATGGACTCCACCCCCAGCCTAGAACAAAACTTTAATGCAGGTCCGCCATTTTTATTCTCGCTAGCAAAGGAGTGATGTCTACTGGGAAAACTTAGAGGGGGGGCTCATTGCATTTAAAGAGACACACACATCAAAACGGAGCATTCTGAGAGAGCTGGTTTATACAGGGTCACAAACCTCCTCTGGTGCTTGATTCATGTTTACTTCACATATCAGAGATCTGGATCTCCTACCTGAGATGAACTAATCTGGACATGGAAAAATAGCCTGTCAGTTGTGGTCTTGATTTAAAATCTGAAGTCCACCCTGTCTGAGACAGAGACAAGACCGAGTGAGAGTACCTTTGATTTTGAGATGAGACCTTCGAAAAGTGGTCTGGAGACCAATCTTGTGACCAAGACCGATTTCAAGTACTACAACACCGGTTGGAAAAAAACAGGTTTATTGGAGTTAAAGAGTCCGACTCGCAGACGAGCTGAACAGCAGAATTAAAAGCCTCTGAAATGTTTTTAAATTACACTTAAGACCTGTAATTTAGAAAAGTACTTTATTTTCCATCTCTGATTTAACAACAATGAGATACGAGGAGTGATGTAATGGAGAGGGCGCAGCAAAGAGTGCATCATTAAACAGGCCTGGACCTGCCTGTGTGTGTGTGTGTGTGTGTGTGTGTGTGTGTGTGTGTGTGTGTATTCTGGTATTAGCTGGATGTGTTCACACGACAAACACGCATCAATCTTGCAGCAGAAGCATGATTTCATCTTTATGAAACGTGGTAACAAGTTGGTTTACATGTTGGCACACAGCTCTCTGATTTTAGAAGCGAATAGAGCAGCTGATAAAATTAAATATTTTACTGATTTGACTTAAGTACGAGTACTCAGGCGCCTGTCACATAAAACATTATTAAACTGAAGGGAACATTATTATTTTGGCTCAGTGGTAGAGTTGGTCATCTCTCAACCATAAGGCCACAGGTTTGATCCCCAGCTCCTGCAGCCACATGTCCGATGTGTCCTTGGGGAAGACACTTAACCCCTAGTTGCTCCCACTGCCTCGACGACAGCATATGAATGTGTTTTTAGTTCATTCTGACAGTCACTTTACACAGCAGTCCTCTATCATCAGTGTGTGAATGTGTAGGTTTGACCTGCGGTGTAAAAACGCTTTGAGTAGTCAGAAGACTAGAAAAGAACTATACAAGCTCAAGTCTATTTCCCATTTATCAATCAATCAATCTTCCTGACACAGGCTAAACAGCTGGTTCTCAAAGTGGTTGGACATTGAGGAAGATTAAATCCAGAAGGAGGCAGTACTGCAACGTTAAGAAAGAAACACTGAGAATTCCGAGTTTTTCAGAGCGGCACTTGAACGCAGCACAAGGAGCCAGCCTTTTCCCAGTGAGGTTCAAGGAAAAAAAAAACTTAAACCAACTTCAGGCGGCTCCGAGGAAGCACCGCGAGGACAACGAGACACGGTAAACCAGACCACCTTTCTGTCACACTGTGCAAAAGTTTAAACAGGAAGAATAAACCCCCCTTAAAGATGCCGGCCACAGAGAAGGACCTGGCCGTGGACGCTCCGTGGAAGAAGATCCAGCAGAACACCTTCACCCGATGGACCAACGAGCACCTGAAGTGCGTCAACAAGCAGCTCGTGGACCTACAAGTGGACCTCGGCGACGGCCTGAAGCTCATCGCGCTGCTGGAGGTCCTCAGCCAGAAGAAGATGTTCAGAAAGTACCACTCGAGGCCGAACTTCAGGCAGATGAAGCTGGAGAACGTGTCGGTGGCTCTGGAGTTCCTTGAGAAGGAGAACATAAAGCTCGTCTCCATAGGTGCGTAAAAGTCGGTCCATTCATTCATATCTGGAAGTCTGTCTGATGCTGCAAACACACCCAAACTCACTCTAATGCTCCGTGTAGTTTCTACACATGAAGGAGAAGTTTGCACCACTTTCATAGTTCGTCCAAGTGAAGTTTTACTCCCAGTTCTCCCAGTTTATAACCCAATCATGCAGCTTTTTCTCGTGCAACGTGCAAACTCCATTATTAATACATTAGTTTAAAACGTTTTAGCTATTTTACACAAAATCTTGTATCGCTAATCAATATATCTGACATCTCTTTAATCATCTGGACCACCTCTTCAATTCGGCATGCATTTGATACAAAAAAATAAAAACTTTAATATATCAAATATACATTTTTTTATAAGGGGTTCACGCCTTTGCTACCGCCCACCTGGATGAATTGAGAGCATGGTTTTAGAGGGCAATGAGAGACAAAAGGAAACCTTTTTTTTAAAGCTTGAGTTCATGATTTTTATCTGTAATTTATACTTTTCTAAAGTTAAGTTTCCCCCATAGATTCCTATTTAACATTCACAGTCTGTGTTTTTCTCAAACTCACCGTTTTGCGTCGCGGAATGCACGAAAAGTTTCATTAAATTTGTCCCTATAATTAGTCATGTTAAATATCATTGTAAATCGTGTATGTGGAAATAGTGGGGACACTTTTCGATTCGCCATACATGCATGTATTAGCCTACTTATAAAGTAATGTTCATTCATTATCAAATGTATGTTTTCTAGATCTTTGTGCCATTCCCACCTGCATGGTTGCATGTACTCAGGCTATATGTGACAGGCGGGACTGTCAGTGTAGAGGATTGAAGTTTGTAAAGTTTATATATCACTGAATGTATTTAGATGTTTTTGGAAGTAAAGAGTGTCACACGAGGCATGAAAGCGCGATGTGTCTCCAAATGTGTGGTTGTCAGCGTTTGTAATGTAGGACTCCAAAGTTCAAGCCATACCTTTTTGTCCTTTCATTTTGTGTGGAGTTTCCCCGGATTCCCAGGTCTTAACAACATTAACGCAAATTAATTAAATGTTCCCGCGAAGAGGAAGACGTTGAATTACGTAAAATACTCGTTTTAATAAGATGAATCCCATTTTAAATGAATTCATTGTCCTCTTAGCTCGCATACATGCCAAACCTCTTTTGGGAATCCTGCATTTTAACATCGCCCCGCCTGTTCGCCATAATAGATCAATTGAAAACTATAAAGTTGTTTATACAGAATTAACATGAGTTGAAAAATGTAAACACTGGAACTAAAACACCTACAAACATTTCAGTTTCGTCGTAGTTTTGGTTACTGGTGAAAAGTCGCCACACACATTCATTGCTGACAGAAAGCTTAAAGTGACATATTTCTAAATGGAGTTTGGCATGTTTTGGGTGTGGGAGTCTCAACATGACAACAGCAGAGTGTTTTAATGAGCAGACTCCTGCAGAGAGGAAACACACCTGTGTTAATGAGCATGGCTTCATGTGGAGAGGTGAAGTTTGTTGTGTGGAAATATTTCACACTGTCCTCAAAAACTCATAAACTCCATTTTTTTGTTAATGAGGTTTGTCAGCTGTTTGAGAAGGAACCCACTGCTTAATGTTTGTCTTTAACAAGCGGCTTGTTGTTGAGACACAAACATAATCTCTGATTTTTATTGGTCTTCCATCTGTCCTCTGTGTCCTCTCTCACAGATTGATTTTATTGATTTAAGATAAAGTTTTGAGCAAAGAGGTAACTCATTGCTGATCTGTTGTTCCCCCGTCTCAAACTATTTGCTCGAGCTTGCACGATCAGAATCAGAAAATGTTTTTAGAAACAATTCCGCAGAATGAGAGTCAAAATTCTGTGTTTTTTGTCTTTAAAATGTGAGAATATGTCGTTTCTCTCAGGCTCTAAATGACTGAATAGTGGTGGGTTGTCACATAAAAAGATTAAGATTTAGTTAAAGAACACATTCAGTGTGTTACATCAGCGTCGTCATTTTAATATTTGTTGTTTTTAAAGGTTTATTTTGGGCGTTTTATGCCTTTTTTATGTAGAGACAGGACAGTGGATAGAGTCAGAAATCAGGCGAGAGAGAGAGTGGCGAGAGAGTGAGACATGCGGGAAAGGAGCCATCTGCTTAGATGACCATAGCCTCCATACATCCTTGGAGCGTGCTTTACTTAGTCATGCTTGCAAAAAAAGAGTTGATGTACTCAGCACATGTTTCATTACAACAGGTCAGCGCCTGACCTTCTCTTTTGATTAAAAGCAACGAAGTTGATCAAGAAGTGCATTTTTGGACGCTGGTAGCTTAGCGGTTAGTTTGCGCGCTCCATGTACGGAGGCTGAACTCCTCCAAGGGGACCTGACCGCCTCTGAGCGCAGCCTCAGTCTGTGTTTTTGCAGTTCTGCCTCCGTCAGCGGTCCGATGGAGAGATTCCCTACCTCGTACATGCTCAGAGAAATGTCTCTTTGCTTTATTAGTGACATCGTCAGTGGTTACGACCTTCATGTGATGCGGGCGGGGCCAGGTGGGATGAAGACGTCAGCGTTCAGGATTCTTGTTTCCTGCTCTTTTCACAGGCTCTGTTTGCACTCTTGACTCATCCTCGAGCTCATCCTCATGTTCAAACATTTGAATCCAAAGTCAGACTGAAAGAAAACCAAAGGAATCTGCTCTCTGAGTCTAAATGAGTCTGAAAATAGTTTCTGTGTTTCAGCGCCAGACCTTCAAACCACACCAGAGTTCACTTCAAATCCAGAGACCACGTTGTCTGGAGATCGACCAAAACTGATTTTCTAGACCCAACAGATATTTTCCCTCAAATCAGGTGTTCTGAAAATGTCAGAACGAGCTCAGACCCTCGAGTGTGGGAGCGTCACACACACACACACACACACACACACACACACACACACACAGTGAGGTGGCGTTGGCCCTCTCCACACAGATCAGAGATAAAGCGTCCAGTCAGTCCGATCAGAAAAACTGAAGGGGGTTCAGTTTCCTAAACGCTCTCATCCCGGTCGACGTTTCTGCTGCAAAAATGATCTTTAATGTGGTGTGTATGTGACTTCCTGTGCTTCTGCAGCCGGCCTCTAGTGGACACTCAAAGAACTGCAGGATTTTGCACTTCTGCATCAGAGCTTGCCGCTTGCTTGGTTTCACTCCCCTTTTTTCTTTTTCTTTTTTTTTTTTTAAATTAGGAAGTTGATAAATTGTATTGTGTAAGCAGCTCGACACACCGCCGGTTTCAACATGTTTTTTTTTCAGTCTCCAGTAGATTGGGGAAAAAAGCCTCACTCTCAAGTGGTGACAAGCACATGTGTTTCCATGGTTACCAGATTAGCTTGTGTAAACACAATCGTTAGATGTCGAGAAGTCTCTGTGCTGAGCGTTTAAGAGTGATCGTTTGCATTAATCAGAAATGTCCCATGATTAAGACGGGGCGACATTCTGTCATCAATGAAGCGTCCTGATAAAAAAAACTGCAGGTAAGAACAGCTGAGTGCTCATTGCTAAAAACGTGACAACTGAACTCCTTTATTGAAACATTTCATTGACATTTCCTGTGACTTAAAACAGGAAACGGTTCACAGAATCATACATACACTGTAACCGGAGTGTGTGCAGCTGCTGTGTTGTGTCTGGAAGCTGTGGAAAAGATCCAGTGTGATTACACAGGTGACGTTTGTGTGTCACATATCTCACCTCCATGACGGGAGGAGTGAACCAGACGACCAGAGAGAGAGAGAGAGAGAGAGAGAGAGCGTGGGAAGGAGGTGTGTGCTGATGTCAGACGGTCTGTGTGTGTGTTTATAGACTCCCCCCTGTGTCATATCCGCCAGCTGTGGTTTACACCTGATTAAAATGTAGCTGTCGCTTCACCTGATGTGTCGTCTTGGAAAAACTAGTCCACAACATTCAGCGACGAGTCGGTCTAAAGTCTGTAGCAACTCAAACAGCATCATGATTCCATATTACAGCGTCTTCAACAGAGAGACAAGAAGTCTGACACGATCACAGACTGTAAATATTAGCGGGTGAAGCCTGAGTGACGTCATCCGTCTGTTCCTGCAGGAGGCTCATCGGCAGCAGCCGCCATGTTGGAAATCCTGTCTCAGCCTAACTTTCTGTCAACCTGACGACAGGCTGAGAGCTGGAGCTGAGGCGGGTTGTAAGCCTCCTGACAAACCGCTACACTGCGCCCACCTGTCAATCATGTCAGCTGCACGCCTAACTATGGATAATGCGTATCGTTCATAAAATAAAAAACAGAGACATTAAGAAAATATTACCCCCCCCGCGTGCGTGCGTGTGTGCATGTGTGTGTGTGTGGGGTATAAAAAGGGTGTTGGCCCTGCCTTTTGTGCAGACAGGTGTGTTACCTCATGGGTGAAGTGCAAGAAGAAAATCCATTTTATTTGTGAACTTTTCAGTTGTACAATCAGACCATCAACTTATTTTGGTCACTTTCTGAAGAGCTTTGGAGCCTGACCTGTTTTTGAAGAGCTTGTTTTTTATAAATAGGACCAAAAGTTGACTCATTTTTAAGTTATAAGAATGTTATTAATGTCATAGACAGCGCTAGCTCTTCTTACAAACTGGTTCGGGTTAGTAAGGGCTCTTTAGGGTTATTTAAGTTCTAATGTAGACCCATAAATCTTCTTCATAAACCTAGTTTTTGTGCACAAACATAACTGCAGTAGTTCCATTTAACATCTGGGACTTATCAGTTTTAACACAGCTTCAGTGGGTACAGTAGACCCGATGTGATGGAGACGCTAAGCCGGGCTGCGCTGAGCTCAAGAGACGCAGAGTCGAGCCATTCCAGCAAGCCGCCTGAGTACACTTAGTGTTAGCGTTGTTTGTCACAAATCACTCTGTTGCATTGTCTTGATGTACCGACTATGCACTTAGCTGGTAGGTTGAGTAACCGGTGTTGACTTGTGTGTAGTGCAACCAAACGTCACGCGTGTGTTTTAACTGGTGATG